GAGTTAAGTCATCTCAAATATGCTTTTAAGGCCAGAGTCATTTGCAATCTCAAGAAGTTGATCCTCTTCTAGTAAAGTTGATTCACCTGGTTTATTTACAAGTGGGTTGAGGAACCATTTCTTCCCAGTTTGGGGGTCTTTGCTGTTTGAGAAGTGTGTTGGTCTGTTCTCATGCTGCTATGAAAACATACCCAAGACTGGGTAATTTATAAAGAAAAGAGGTTTAATTGACTCAGTTCTGCATGGCTGTGGAGGCCTCAGGAAACCTTAATCATGGTGGAAGGGAAAGCAAATATGTCCTCCTTCACATGGCATCAGGAGACAGAAGTGCCAGGCAAAGGAGGAAAAGCCTTTTATAAAACCATATCTTGTGAGAACTCACTGACAATCATGAGAACAGCATGGGGCGTAACTGCCCCCATGAGTCAACTACTTCCTACCAGTCCCTCCCATGACACATGAGGACTATGGGAACTACAGTTCAAGATGAGATTTGGGTGGGGACACAGCAAAACCATATCAGGAAGTAATGCTCAAACTCTTTTGAAAGCTGAGATAGTTGATCATGTACCAGCTGGATAAAGAAGACCCTGGCTCAGTCCCTTTCAAAATCTCTGCTAATATTTGAAACATGTCAAAAATCCCAATGTTCACCGGTCACTCCCATAATTTCAGTTTGGCTTTGAATGCATCCACTTTATCTGCTGACTTGAACACAGTGGTCATTTTCCCATGAAGTGACAGATTGAGTTTGTGGAGCAGGTTGAATATGTCACACAAGTAAACAAGTTTTGTAACCCATTTCATGTCACTGAAATGTGCTGCCAGTGCTTACTATATTTCTAAAATAAATTTCTAGAGTGGCTTCTGTAATCAAAAACCTGGCCAGTGTTCTGACTTTAGAAAGCCATCTTCTGTGTGTAAGAGATGACATGTGTACTCTGCATCTATCTCTTTACAGAGCTGCAAGAACAGACATGCATTAAGGGCATGTGCTTTACTGTGGCTGATAATTTTAATCACACCCTGTAAAACGTAGTTAAGTTCAGGTGACACTTTGCAGCTACTCAGCATTCCTCCATGGATGACACAGTGCATAGACTCATATTCATAGGCAACCTCTTTGACCTGAGTAGTGAAACCGGCAAGCCATCCAGTCATGGCAGCTGCTCTGTCTGTGTACATCCTGACACAAAATGACCAGTTTGGGATTACAGGTGTGAGCCACTGCGCTTGGCTGAACTCTTAAGTAGGACTCTGGGTATTTTTTAAAATGTAGTTTTCTTTTTGTTGGCACTTTTAGAGTCTTTTGCTGTCTCATCATTGGATCTTCCCCCTTTTCAAAGAAGTTCTCTAGTGACATATGCTTTTTACTCATTGTACTTATTTTGGCTAGGGTTAGCTTGTGGGCTTACCCAAACTGTGACTGAGATAAGTGCATAGTACAGGAAAGAGGTATAGACAGAAATGATAAATAAAATAATGGGTGGGCCACATGCAGAGTAAAGTATCAGATCTTGACTTAAAGCCTGCCACCGGATGCAGCTTGTCACTTGCCACTGATAGGGTTTTGATATGAGTCTGCAAGCAATAGATTTTCTGTGGCCTCTGTGCAGTCAGACCTCTCTGCTAATGTTAACCTGTATTTGCAGCCACTCCCTAGCACTAAAATCACTGCCTCAGCTCTACCTCAGGTCATCAGACATTAAATTCTCATAAGGAACACACAACCTAGATCCCTCGCATGCACAGTTCACAGTAGGGTTTGTGGTCCTGTGACAATCTAATGCCACCACTGATCTGACAGAAAGTGGGTCTTTCTGTCAGTGGATCTCAGACAGTAATGCAAGCGATGGGGGTGGCTGTAAGTACAGATGAAGCTTTGCTCACCCACTGCTCACCTGCGGCTATGCATCCCAGTTCTGAACAGGCCATGGACTGGTAGTGGTCTGTGGCTCATGGTTGGAGACCCCTGCTTTAGGGTATGAGTGGTTTTTGGTTACAGAGATGAATTGCACGGTGGTGAAGTCTGGGATTTTGGTACACCTGTCGCCTGAGTAGTGTACATTGTAACCAGTAGGTAGTTTTTCATCCCTCAACCCCACTCACACTGCCCCCTTCCGAGTCTCCAATGTCCACTCCACCACTCTGTATGCCTTTGTGTACCCATAGTTTAGCTCCCACTTATAAGTGAGAACATGCAATATTTGGTTTTTGATTTCTGAGTTACTTAGAATAGTAGCCTCTAGTTCTATCCAAGTTACTGCGAAATACATTATTTCATTCTTTATGGCTGAGTAGTATTCCATGGTATACATATACACCACAGTTTCCTTATGCACTCATCAGTTGATGGGCACTTCGGTTGATTCCATATCTTTGCAATTGTGAATTGTGCTGTGATAAACATACATGTGCAAATGTCTTTTTGACATAGTGACTTATTTTCCTTTGGTTAGATGCCCTGCAGTGGGATTCCTGAATCAAATGATAGATCTACACTTAGTTCTTTGAGAAATCTCCATACTGTTTTCCATAGAGGTTGTACTGATTTACATTTCTACCAGTAGTGTAGTGTGTAAGCATTGTCTTTTCATTACATCCGCACCAATATCTGTTGTTTTTTGACTTTTTAATAATGGCCATTCTGCTGGGATAAGGTGGTATCTTACTGTGGTTTTCATGTGGATTTCTCTAATTAGTGATGTTGAGCATTTTTTCATGTTTCTTGGCCATTTGTATATCTTCTTTTAAGAAATGTCTATTCATGTTATTTTCCCATTTTTAATAGAATTATTATTATTATTTTGCTGATATGTTTGAGTTCCTTGTAGATTCTGGATATTAGTCCTTTGTTGAATATATAATTGGCAAATATTTTTCTCCCATCCTGTAGGCTGTTTGTTTACTCTGATGATTATTTCTTTGGCTGTGTAGAAGCTTTTTAGTTAAATTAGGTCCCATTTCTTTATTTTTTGAGACAGTTTCACTCTCACTCCCGAGGTTGGAGTGCAGTGGTGTGATCTTGGCTCACCACAACCTCCACCTCCTGGGTTCAAGCAATTCTCCCACCTCAGCCTCCCGAGTAGCTGGGATTACAGGCATGCACCATTATGCCCAGCTTATTTTGTATTTTTAAAGTAGAGACTGGGCTTCTCCATGTTGGTCAGGCTGGTCTTGAACTCCCAACCCCAGGTGATCCACCTGCCTTGGCATCCCAAAGTGCTGGGATTACAGGTGTGAGCTGTTGTGCCAGGACTATTAGGTCCCATTTATTTTTGTTGCATTTGCATTTGTGGTCTTAGTCATAAATTTGTTGACTAGGCCAATGTCCAGAAGAGTTTTTTTCTAGGTTTTCTTCTTAAATATTTTATAGGTTTAGGCCTTAAATTTAAGTCTTTAATCCATCTTGAGTTAATTTTGTGTATGGTGAGAGTCAGGGATCTACCTTCTTTCTCAGGAACACGTGTGACACTTAGGTTTAACGATTGTACATAATTCCATATTTCTTGGAGACCTTCTTTATACATTTTCATTCTTTTTTCTTTATTTTTGTCTGATTGGGTTACTTAGAAAGCCTTGTTTTTGAGCTCTGAAATTCTTTCATCTTCTTGATCGAGTCTAGTGTTAAGATTTTTGCTGGATTTTGTAGTTGCCTAAATGTGTCTTTCAATTCCAAAAGTTCCGATTTGTTTTTCTTTCAAATGTCAATCTCTTTAGAACATTTTTCATTAATGTCCTGAATTGTTTCATTCATTTCTTTATGTTGGTTTTCACGTTTCCCTTTCATCTCCTTGATTAACTTAATAATCAGCCTTTTGAAATTTTCATGTGGTATTTCAAAAATTTCATCTTGGTTTGCATCCAGTGCTGGAGAGTTGGTGTGATCTTTTGGGAGTGTTATAGAACTCTGTTTTTTCATATTGACAGAATTATTTTTCTGGTTTCCTTTTTATTTGAGTAGACTATTTCTTCTAATTATTTTTGAATTGTTTTTGATTGGACAGGCATTTTTAAAAACTCCCCGCCCCTCCCATCGCCCCAGCCTTGAGGATGTGACTTTAATGTTTATAGTTGATTGTCACCTAGTTTTGGCTTCGGGTACTTTTAATGGCAGAGACCCTGTATGAGTTTCCTGGTTATAGAAAATCTTTGTGTGATAGCTTTCTCTGATGCTGGTTGTAGTAGCAATGTGCTGGGTATGTGAGCAGCTTTACTCTCTCCTGTAGGGCTGGAATGGTAGAAGTCTTGTGAAGCTTATCTCATTCCTCAGTGGTATGCATTTGAAATTTTTTTTCCCCATTCTTTTATTCACTGGGTTGAACAGTTCAGGCTTCAGGCCAGTAGTAGGTGCCCATGGTGAAAAACAGCTACAACTAAAGCAGTTGGGTAAATGTGGTACTCCAGTGGCAAGAAGAGGTCACATCCTTGGCAGAGATGGCTGGGGAAGCTCTCAGTGAAATGCACTGAGGTCTTTTTGTGGGTAAGGGAGGGGATCCCACATCTCTCATTCTGGGCCACCAGGAAAGTGATCCACCTCCCGGTCACACTCGTCATGCAGTACTCCAGCTTTTCAGATCACACAGGCACCTCTTTTGATCCATGTAGAAGGGGATTGTGACTCTAGGTCTTTTGCAAGCCTGAACCCGGAGGACACTCCTCTTGTGGGGATGCAGCCACCCTGAAGTGTTATAGAAAGGCTGTCTACAGACGCACCCATGCCATGCTCTTGTGAGAGAAGCCCCAGCTGTGTTTGCAGTGCTTAGTGAGGGGGAGAAGTCCCCTTCTTCAGGATCCTTCATGAGCATCAGGGCTGCCTGACAATTGGGGAAGAGCTGCAGACTTTCCCCACTGAGCCCAGCACTGCACCTGTGCCTCTGTTGAAAGAAACTTCCCACAAGTGGAAAGTTCAGGGACTCAGGGCCTGCAGTCTGATTTTTTTTTTTTTTATCTGATAGGGTGTCTGCCCTCTTAATGTGGTACATTCCCCCTTACCCTAGGAGTAGCAGTTTCTGACGCCCAGACTCCTGTGAATCTTGCTGCTGCTCTGGGTCTAGCCCCCCAGTGGGGCTGCCACACTCTAGGCTGGTGCTGGAGAATGTCTGAAAGGGATCTGCTACAGTTTCCCAACAGTGAGTACCAGCATGGCTCTGATGGGGGTGGGAGGAGCGACATAGACTCTGTGAGATTTCCTTGGTTATAAATAGTCTTAGCGTGTTGGCTTTCTCAAATGCTAGCTGTAGCAGTAATGTACTGGGCCTGTGGACAAACTCAAGGCCTCCTGGTTAACCAGGGTGATGGAGGCAATGGTGGTAGCTGAGGTCATGCAAAAAGTTTTGTCCTTCTGAGCACTCTCATGTGCCTGCAGATATTGTTATGGGCTGTGCCAGTTTCCTTCCAGCCTGGGGGTGGCGCTTGCAAAAGGGCACCAGTTGCAGTATTAGCAGTAGGATTTGTGCTTGCCTCGTGTTACCTAGAGGAGGTACTCTGGTGTCTCAGACAGTGGGCAGGGCCATGGAGCATGCAAAAGTCCCTGTCTGTTGTGTTAGGCTACCAGAGTGGGTGGATGGGCAAAGCTAGTGGGGGCCGGGTCAGGCATGATTGCACTGTAGCTCCCCATATTCGAGTGCAAACAGTGGCCCCAATGGGGATTAGAGGGCAGTTCCCTGGTCACAGGAGTAATGTTCCAGGGAGGAGCACAGCTACATCTGCTACACAGAAGAATCCACATGGGGAGGGGAGGGTAGCAGGTGACAGAAAGCCCTGCTCAGCTCCCATGGACTTGGCAAGGCGGGTCTCATACCCGCAGTGTTGTGCGAGCAGCAGCTAGCTGGGTTCCAGGCAGCTCTCAAAACCGTCCCAAGCCATAAGCTTTCCCAACTGACACAGAAACCAGCTTTTAGGTCGTGACCCTCCTGGTCAGCCTGTGAAGTAGAGGCACCCAGGTCCTGTGCCTGAAACTGTAGCACACTTTCTGCCCATCCCTCTGACCAAAGGCATTTGTCCCCACTAAAGATTATATCACAGGTCTCAGTTGGGAGCTTTTCTCAACCTGTGACCACTGCCTTCACTTCAGGTGAAGTCCCCTGTGAGGTAGGATCAGGAATGACTTCCCTTTGTCCCTGCTTGGTTCTGGGAGTGCACACGGTCCAGTGCTGCTCTTTTTCATTAAACCTCACTGCTCACTAAGTCAGCATCAGTGCTGGGTCAGGTTAAGGTGATCCCCCGTGGCCTGGATTGCTCGGCTTCCCAGTGGGAGAGTGTGTCACATAGGCAGTCTGTCCCCACTCACGCTCTGGTGACTCCCAGTTTTCCTTTTGATTTATGGTGTAAACTACTGCCCACTGCTTCTTTCAAAGGGTTTGTAGTTTCTTTCAGTGTTTCTAAGTTCCTGTGTTGCTCCTTGGAAAAATGTTCACAGCATAACTTTCTACACACTATTTTGTTTTTCCAAGTGGGAGAGGCATGCTAACAATGACTGCATTCCACCATCTTGGAGTTAAAAAAGAAAAACTCTTCTAACACTTTCTATGACAAAGCTTAACATTGTGCAAGCTACAAAAGAGAAATATTTAAAGGCCTCAGCTCTGTTTGCAAAGAGCAGACAATCAAGTATGGATTTGGAGTTTAGAGGCAATTCAATTCATTGATAACTGGAAAATTGTAACTGTTTTGTTCTCACGTTTTTTGAAACCCTTCTTTTCATAACTTATGTTTTGCACTTTCCCCTAGTTTTCCACCTACTTCTCATGTTTCTTCTCTATCTCATTTGCCACCTCCCCTGTCTGCCTTTTGTATGTTGAAATCTTCAGGGGTTTTCTTTGGTTCTACTCTTTTTCTCACTGAGTTTTTTTTCTTGGTGGTCTTATGCACTCCCATACTGATGACTATCAAATATTTCCTTAGACTCACATGTCCAGTTGCTTATTAGACATCTTTAGTTTGATACTTCCTCCCATGGAACACAAATCGATCCTCTCTTTCTAACTAAAGCTTAGACCAGTTCAATTTAGAACACATGTTTTCCTAAAAGCTCTTTCTTTTCATTGATTTCTTTGCTCAGGTTAATAGTTCAGGATCCATCCAGCTACCAAAACCAGAAACTTGTGATTTATCTTTTACTCTTTTATCTTGCCCTCATAGTTAATTCACCCCACCGAACTTCATCTCTACTGCCATTGTCTTAGGTGCTCACCATTTATTATATAATAGACTATAGCAGCCTCTCAACAGTCCTTCAGTTGATGTGTGTATTACCATGTCACTCCCCACTCAGGATTCTTTAGTTTTTTTTCTTTAGTTACAGTAGTGGCTTTCAAATGTTTTTATTTTCTTTTGAAAATAATAGAATCATTAAAAAAAAAAAACCCATGAAACAGTAGCATGAAAATCGGATGAAGGCAGAACTTTTCTGGCAGAAGGATGCAAGAGCTCGGTTTATTTGGATCCTCTCTACTATTCTCTGAGACAGTTTTTAATTGGTTCCTATTTCCTTGTCTTAGCCATCCATCAAACTTATATGCATCCTTTAAAACGAATGGAAAAATCCTAACCTGACTCCCCCGGGACTTTGTTGTATTAATTAGCTCACCATTTATAACATGTTTGAAACTCTCTCCCATCAAATACTGCAATTTATTTATGTATTTACTTTCATCTTTCATCTCTAATGTAGTGACAATTCATTAAATGATGAAAAATCAATTTAAGTGTCTGATTCTGTTTTCTAATGTATATTATGTTAACTAACAGAACTGACTGGTGGACTGGACAGTTGATTTTGCTCTTTTATAAATTTACCAAAAGACTTTGAGGAGATGAAGTTACAGAAGAGCACTGATGTAAAGAAGACAGGTACAATTGTTAATTGTTTCTACATGGTGATGTTTGCTGACTTGTTAACTTTTTAACTTGAAGGATGAGGCAAAGCTCTCAAGTGCTACAGCTGTTGAAACTGAATTAGTCCTTTTTCACACTGCTATAAAAACACTACCCAAGACTGGTTAGTTTAGAAACAAAGAGGTTTAATTGACTCACAGTTCCACATAACTGGGGAGACCTCAGGAAACTTACAGTCATGGTGGATGGCGAAGGGGAAGCAAGCTTGGACCTTCTCACATGGTGGCAGGAGAGAGGAGTGAGGAGCGAAGAGGGAAGAGCCCCTTATAAAACCATCAGATCTTGTGAGAACTCACTATCATGAGAACAAAATGGAGGAAACTGCCCCCATGATTCTGTCACCTCCCATCAGGTTTCTCACTAAACACATAGGGACTATGCAGATTACAATTCAAGATGAGATTTGGGTGGGGACACAAAGCCTAACCATATCAGAAACAGTGAGAAATACTTCTGAAATTTGATCTTTGTTAACGATTAAGCTTAAAATATACTCCCAATTTTCTCTTACCACCCTAAATATCAACATAATTACCTTGAACATCTTCTTTGAGGACAATTACCTTGGACAGGGATGGCTGAGGCACTCGGAGGCCACAGAAGCAATCACCTACTTAACATGCACTAGTCAGTCTTTGTGAAATATCACCCCTGATGCTGGGTGCTTATCTTTCATGGAACAGCTTGCAAATCCTAATTGTTTTAAACTGGCTCAGAGAAAAAGAGATTTGAGAATCAATAAATTACAGCTCTCATACATACAAATGTGCGTCATTATAATGAAGACAATCTGATGGCTCTTTGGGTCAAATAACAACAGAGGTGGACTTGAGTTTGTAAAGGCTCATTGCCATTCCTCTTATTACAAGGGTTGAATGCAGTTTTACTCTCTCCAGTTGCAGTATTCAAGTTTGCACTTGGGCATTTGTTTTAGATGGAAAGATCCTCAGTAGGAGTGAACTGATGAGGATTCGTTGTTTGCTCTGGTGGCTGTATTTCTTCTTTATAAGGTTCATTAAGACAGAAGCAACAATATTTATGCCTTTAAATACTGATTTGTTGGGAGCAGCTAAATAAGCTATTCCAAGAATGGTAATATCAGATCCAGAGCTTTCTCTTAAGATTCCAGAGACTTTCTCCCAAGGTCACCCATCTTAGTCTTCTCTAGAGATTTGGAAAAAGCTTATGTCTGAAAAGCAGACAGCACCAATATTGTTGCTTTCTTGTTAATAAGAAATTTTGTTGCACCAGCAGATGGTAGTAAGCTGCAGAAGAGTGTTTACTGCTTTTTCTCCAACTGAGGGAAATAACTTTCTCAGCTTTAATCAGAATTTAGGTATTTATGTTTCTTTAAATTGTTATTACAGTTTAGTCATTCTTCAAATTTAGCAGTTTTTTGTTTTCTTTCATCAGTGTATCATGCTGAAATTTCTTATGATAATGATTATAAATTCCTTGTCTAATAGAACTTAAAAATTTTTTTTTAAAATAATGAAGATTTTCCTTGAGTATACATAAATTTTTTTTTCTACTAGTTTTAATAATTCTTGTTTGGGCTTCAAAATATAATAGTGATTAAATATAACTTGTGAACCATTTTTAATTTGTTTTCCAAAGTAGAATTTGATTGCATAAGTGATGTTGGTATACCTTAATATATTTTTATATCATCCTCCAATTTTTACATTCATTCTAATATTTAGAATGTTTCTTTAAGTGAGTCATCTTTGAATTTAGTAACTGCCCTTCAGTAAAACTACAAAAAGAAAATAATATACAATTAAAAGAAATTCTTTAAACTCATGATAAATGTTTCCTTTGGTCAGCAAATGCTCTTCAGTGTGAAATAGTAGAAATTGGCACTGTGATCCCATTTCTTCAGCTCATCAGTTGGTGAGAACTAGTGGCATAGCCCTACCTAGATAGATACCAGGGGACTAGGAAATAAGGTCAAGAAGTTGCCAGGGAGGAAAAGGACACAGTTACCAAGAAAATGAAAGTTCTGAATATTGAGCTTTTATTTAATCAAATTTTTCAGGTCAACCTCTTGTTAATCTGCTGTTAGCCTGTTAACCTGCTGTCTCTGAAGAGATCTTTGTATTTGTTTTTGTTTCTTTTAAGTATATATTGTAGTTTTCTCTCTGATTATACATTAATGCAAATCATTGTAGAAAATTCATGAAATGTAGGAATGTTTTTGAAAACAAAATCAGCTATAAAGTCTGTATAGTAAATATATTTTTGTTCTGTTTTTCCCCGCTCCCTCTTTATCTCTACCCTTCCCCACACCTCTAAATGTATACATTGGTTGTCTTCACTTATTTTCTGTTGTTTATAATACCTGAAACTGGGTAATTTATGAAGAAAAGGACTTTATTTCTTTCAGTTATGGAGGCTGAGAAGTCCAGTGTTGAGGGGCTGCTTCTGGTGAGAACCTACTTACTGGTGGGGACTCTCTGCACAGCCCTGTGGCAGCACAGGGTTTCACCTGGTGAGGGGGCCAAGCATACATGTTTGGTCTCTCTTCTTATAAAACCACCAGTTCCCACTATCCATTACTCCATGAATAGATTAATTCATTCATAAGGGAGGAGCCTTCCTAACCCAATCACCTTTTAAAGGTCCCACCTCTCAATACTACCTCACTGGGGATTAAATTTCAACATGAATTTTGGAGAGGACATTCAAACCTTAGAACTGGTAATTTATATACACATCCAGATAACATATAACATTTATTATGAAATTAGAATTCATACTTTCAACCCAAGCTTTGTCATGAAGTGTTCTTCAGAAACAGGTTTTTTAATGTCTGTGTTCATTGTATAGATGTACCATAGTTTAACCATTCTTGTATTTTGAAATTTGAGTTGTTTTTATTTTCGCTCTATTACAGTAAATATTCTTATGTATAAATTTCTGTGTGTATTCTAGATGACTTTATTAGGAGAAATTTTTGGAAGTGTAATTACTAGGGCAAAGGTATAAGCTCTTCTTGATACTTATTACCTGCTGACATCCAGACAGGTTGTTCAAGTTTACATGTTCCCATTAGGAAAGTGTAGGAGTGCTCCTTTCCTTACAACCTAGTTAACCACAGACATTATTATTTAAAAGAAAACAGCTGTGTAGTCTAAAAAAGCATCTCATTGTTTAAGTTATATTTCTTAGATTATTGGGTTGAATGCTTTTTCATGGCCCTGAATATTTGTTTTCTTGTGTGACTACTCTCAATAAGTTTTTATTAATATACAATGAATGAATAGGTAAACTTCAATTGAGGAAAATATTTTCAGAGACCTGGTCAGTTTTCATTAATGCCAATGATATTACTATTTGCCATTCTTCTATAAAATTAATTTTTAATTATAGTATAAAATACATAATGACAAAAGAAGAGTGTATAATTGATGCTCGCTGCTTTGTACTTTTCTTTTTGAGTCAGTTGTATTAAGGGGCTCTCAGGATTTTCATGGCCCTCCATGCATTCTACTGTAGGTTCTGATTATGTGGTGTGAGCCTCTTGCCAACTTGATTTTTTTTTTTAAATTTTTTATTGCATTTTAGGTTTGGGGGTACATGTGCAGAACATGCAAGATAGTTGCATAGGTACACACATGGCAGTGTGTTTTGCTTCCTTTCTCCCCTTCACCCACATTTGGCATTTCTCCCCAGGCTATCCCTCCCCACCTCCCCCTCCCACTGGCCCTCCCCATTTCCCCCCAGTAGACCCTAGTGTTTAGTACTCCCCTTTCTGTGTCCATGTGTTCTGATTTTTCATCACCCACCTATGAGTGAGAATATGCGGTGTTTCGTTTTCTGTTCTTGTGTCAGTTTGCTGAGGATGATGTTCTCCAGATTCATCCATGTCCCTACAAATGACACAAACTCATCATTTCTGATGCTGCATAATATTCCATGGTGTATATGTGCCACATTTTTCCAATCCAGTCTATCATCAGTGGGCATTTGGGTTGATTCCAAGTCTTTGCTGTTGTAAACAGTGCTGCAATGAACATTCGTGTACATGTGTCCTTATAGTAGAACGACTTACAGTCTTTTGGATATATACCCAGTAATGGGATTGCTGGGTCAAATGGAATTTCTATTTCTAAGGCCTTGAGGAATCGCCACACTGTCTTCCACAGTGGTTGAACTAATTTACACTCCCACCAACAGTGTAAAAGTGTTCCTTTTTCTCCACATCCTCTCCAGCATCTGTTGTCTCCAGATTTTTTAATGATCGCCATTCTAACTGGCGCGAGATGGTATCTCAATGTGGTTTTGATTTGCATCTCTCTGATGACCAGTGACGATGAGCATTTTTTCATATGATTGTTGGCCTCATATATGTCTTCTTTTGTAAAGTATCTGTTCATATCCTTTGCCCACTTTTGAATGGGCTTGTTTGTTTTTTTCCTGTAAATCTGTTTGAGTTCTTTGTAAATTCTGGATATCAGCCCTTTGTCAGATGGGTAAACTGCAAAAATTTGTTCGCATTCTGTTGGTTGCCGATTCACTCTAGTGACTGTTTCTTTTGCTGTGCAGAAGCTGTGGAGTTTGATTAGGTCCCATTTGTCTATTTTGGCTTTTGTTGCGAATGCTTTTGGTGTTTTGTTCATGAAGTCCTTGCCTACTCCTATGTCCTGGATAGTTTTGCCTAGATTTCCTTCTAGGGTTTTTATGGTGCCAGGTCTTATGATTAAGTCTTTAATCCATCTGGAGTTAATTTTGGTGTAAGGTGTCAGGAAGGGGTCCAGTTTCTGCTTTCTGCACATGGCTAGCCAGTTTTCCCAACACCATTTGTTGAACAGGGAATCCTTTCCCCATTGCTTGTTTTTGACAGGTTTATCAAAGATTGTGTGGTTGTAGATATGTTGGGTTGCCTCTGTTGCCTCTGTTCTGTTCCATTGGTCTATATCTCTGTTTTGGTACCAGTACCATGCTGTTTTGAT